TTTTTAATAATTTCCCTTCACGGTGCTAAGTATGGGGTAAAGGGATCAATGCATAGAATTGTCGATCAAAGAGAGGAACGATAAAATCGAGATTCGAGAATCGATTTGAGATTAACGCTGGAAATAAGAAATACGAGATTCGTTAGATACGTTAAAAGGGGCAAATGGATGAATTGTTTGGCGAGAAATGATAGAACGTATAAAGAAAAAGTTGAACAAAAGTAACGTAAGAGGTCTTTTGTGAAAGCCACGAATTGCCCGGCGGTGAATTTCTCACCCAACCAGAAGTCGGAATACCTTCTCACCTAAATAAACCTGTTGAATTAAAAGAAAAAAAAAAAAGAGAAGAAAAATAGTACTTTCATAAAAATAATTCCTCTCTTCGTTTTCTTCTTCCCTTTCCGTGCTTCGTCTCTGACAAAAATGTACCGGTACAAAAGCGTCACGGCAATCTTGCTAATTATAAATGTTCATAAATGAAACAACAGGAAAATGAGATCAGAGGTGAAGTGTTGGTTCGCCTCTGATATTCTTGTACAGTGGTGGTAGCTTGAAGTGGAGCAATAGCTCAGAAGATAAAGGTATTAAACGAGCGAACCTCACTCTCTCTTCCTGTTTCGACTTTACGTCACCATTGCCCAGTTTCTAACAGAAAAAGTTACTCTATACTGTTAATTAATTCCAGAGAGGACCAAGTAAACAGTAAAATTTCGAGATACTCGTTGAAACGTTTGACAACTTTACTGTACACTCTCTCTCGCCGAGTTGTTTTCCTTTTTCCGTAACCGTCGGCAATTTTATTAACCTCGAATAGCAAGAAAAACGAGCACGAAGGAAGCATTCGGTTGGGCCTGAATGGTCTGGCAAAAGGATCCGTCTCGCCTAACCAAGAATTTGCCAAAAGTTGGGTTTGCCGGTATGTCTGTCACGTAGCCAAGCCGCGGTACCCGGGGCTCTTCCATTTCACAACCGGTTTGAATGAAATTGGAAACATTTCTCAGCCGCCGTACTCGCTTCCCTCTGTAGACACTGGTATAAGTGTACAATGTACAAGGTGTTTCGTGACATATGAGTCCTGCTGCAAGAATGGATTCGAAGATTAGAAACGACGATTTTTAAAGGAGGATGCTAAAAATGGCCATTTTTGACCCAGTGTCGGCGAACGCGTTTGCTGGTTGCTGTTCTTGTGTAGCGATGATTTTGTGGCACTTTGGATTTACTCTGTTGCAATCTTCACCTGCAGATTTTCTTAAGAATTGCGTTAGATCGCTGCCATTTTCTCGTATTTACAATTATTTTGAATAGCTTTCGCATCACATTTTGGATAAACGATTGGGACACTTTTTACTCCAGGGAAGTTACAGTGACTAAACTTTATCGAGTGCTATTTATTAGACTTATTTTGTTTATGAAACTGAAATTTATCAACTTACTTTATTTATGTAACAGAAATTTATTGAACTGATTTTATCTATGACAAGTCAAGCACACACGTCGTGTAATTTGGTACTCAAATTAAAAAAAAAACAGAAGCAAAATGCGAAAGGTAGAGTTAATCAGTCAGAGCCGACGAAGGACTCAATTACCGAATCATAAACCCGACTGTATTACAACTTGAAATTGGAACAGTAACATCGACTCAATTCCACCCTCGGGCCTTTGTATATCACAACACACGTGGTAATTCATTTGGCTAATTTATCGCGGCAACAGATGAGAGGGATCAAGCAGAAGCAATTGCGCCTCTCAATGTGTATCTGGCTCTGCGGACTGATCCATGGCGTGGATGGTACACTTACGATAGCTCTGTCTACTTCGTTTTACGCGCGCTCTGTCATCACTCTCAAGTTCGCCGCTAAACTCGGTTGTGGTCGTTGTCACGTTCGTCTACGTTGGCTCTATTCCGGTTGGAAGGTAATGTAGAATCAGCCTGGTACCAGATGCCGCGTGTATACTACACACCACTCACTTCTTTTCCCGCGTTTTACTGACCTTGCTTCTCTAAGGCTTTCCGCCGGCCTCTTAGCGTTCGCTGACATGGAGTTAATAAAGTTTCGCTCGTTCTGCGAGACACGTTCTCCAAAGAAACAGCTAAATGAAGCTGTACGCGGAATGAAGCATATTTTAATGTCTTACTTCTTCCCTCACCACCGTCTCCCTCCCCCGATAATGTACGTGCTTGGTGTGTAAATACGATGAACTTGGTAATGTGCCGCAGAAACCAGTTTCGAAGGCGTACACGCGCGTGGCGCTAAGCGGTTTGCGGCTAAAACCGATCGTAAAGCCGGTAAACGCGCGGTTTCCTAGTTCGATGAAAGAAGCGGCAAAAAGGATCCGCGCTGCCAGCGATGAATCCAATTGATTTCCCAACGTGTCATATACTAAACATTCGATAATAGCACCGTGAAATTGGCTTACACGTGCAAACACCGCGTGTCATCTTTTATTTAACGCTGTCGAGATTCTTCGGGAGTGTGTATTCAGAAAGGGGAAGACTGCGAAGGTTCGATTGATAGGCTAACATTATTCTGGTAATTTGTCTCGGGAAGGGTAGCCAAAAGTAACGAAAGAGAAAATTCTCCATTGAAAATTTCGCGTGCAGGTATTGCTTATTGAAATTGTCCAGGTTACAGAGGATGGAACATTCTGAAGACAAAGTCGGCGTACATGCCAGGCCTTTCATCGTATAATTTCATGTAATTGCTGCTATACAGCCTTACCTAATGAAGAGCAAAAAATTCGGACGCAGCTGCTGTAAGAGGCAAAAACCAGTTTTGCGGCGATCTTCTATTACGCATATTGCGTGCGACGAACAACGCTCCACGTGTTATAAGATCGTTGCTACCTGTGTTCCATACGCTCGCCGGCTTTTTATCCGAGTGTAATATCAAAGGGTGCTCTGGAACTTCCGGGATGTCTTGGTGTTGAGTTGTATCGAATGCAGACGACTATGTTTCTGTTTGCTAAGAACCGGTTTAGTGTAAAAAGATTGACAAAAACTGAATTTTTGACGAAGAGGAATAAAATTGCAGGACTTTTTCTTTGTTTTCGAAAAAGGTCACTTGATTGACTCATGGTTAGGTTCTTTTAAATTTAATTGCATAGTTTAAAAAGATTGAAAATTGACTTAGTATAGGTGGAAAAAGGATTGTCTAAAATTTGAAAAATTAAATGTCTGAAAAAGGGGAATAGAATTGCAAGATCCTTTTAAATTTAATCGCACATTAAGAAAACTTGAAATCTGACTTAGTATCGATGGAAAAAGGATTGTGTAAAGCTTGAAAAATTGAATCTTTAAACAAACAAGAATAAAATTACAAGATTTTTTCTTCCCTTTGAAGAAGGTCACTTTTGAATACTGTTAAGTGTGATTATCAACTCCTGGTTAATTACCGATCCTTCTAAATTTAATTGCAGAATAAAAAAAAAAACCACAGATCCAGCTGTTTTGCTGATTTTTGCAAGAGAAAGTATTACATTCGAAGAAGAGTTCACGAAACGAAAATTGTTCCCCGTTAATATCCAATGGCTGATGGTATTTTAATTCGTCTTTTGTGCCAAATGAAATCCAGCGAAATTGCATAATGCTGTAGTGTATTGAATCGTGGCACAATTTAAGTATACAATGAAGAATAAGTAGAAAGAAATGAACGCGGAGGACAGGGCCTAGCGGCACCTAAGTTATTTCTGCAAACGGTAAATTACATCGGGATACGCAAAAATCTTGCAATTGTTACATTCCAAGGAAGTTATTTGGCACAGCTGTTGACGTATTATCTTAATGATGAATAACGGCACAAAACAACTCCTTACGTGACTTGCAAATCCTCCGGAAGTACAGAATTTTTGCTCCCCTTGATTGTTCTCACGACTCGTGAAATCTTTAACAGTTGCGCATATTCTACGATCTGCTCTGACGAGCGTGAAAACACACCAAAGAAACGTGATAGATTACACGAAGAATCTTCTTCAATGATACCGAAACTACCGATGTCCGTTCGGCGTTTTTAATATTATAATTAAGAATCCTAATACGTACTTGCTTCGTCATTTTATTTCAATTTTTACTTAGCCAATTCAAAATCTTCGAGATTTGGAAAATTAAGAACGTTTTTCTAATTTTTGATAATGTTTACTTGCTACACTTATTTTAGGTTTATTAGAGTATGAATTAAAATCTGTAGGATTTCGAAAACTAAGAACGTTTTTCTAGTTTTCTAGAAAAATTAGAAAATTAAGGTATGCTTATTTATAAATCAATAGCAGAAAAATCGAAATCCAATTTTTTTCTGAATTTGGACGTAATACAAAGTTAACGAAATTATTCAGAAATCGCTATTATAGGTTTCCATTTATGCAGACAGGTTCGTAGGATCATGAATTGTTGAAGCTGCTTAGAATTTGAACCAGTTAAATGTTCAATTTAATTGGAACTTCCCAGACATTGTTAAACATGCAGATTTGTTAAGGAACTACTCGAATTACTGAAACCTAAAGCAGGTCAAATTTAGTCCAAGCTTGAATCAGTACGATTTGTGCTAGTCAAACTACAGAAATTTATTTTTAAGTGAAACTTTAATTACACCCTTATGACATCCAAATGATTGACAAATATCTACTTTAAAATTCCAAAAATATTTCAAAATCTAAATGTCCTTAAAAATATTAAAAAAAGGAAACATATACCACAGCAAATGTTCGTCTATGGTAATTAAAAAAAAACTTAATCAACCTAGGGAAATTTATTTTTAAGCGAAATTTTAATACACCATTATGACATCTAAATGATTCACAAATGTCTACTTCAAAATTCCAAAAATATTTAAAAACCCAAACGTCATTTAAATGTCCAAAAAAGAAATTTATACCATAGTAAATGTTGGTCGATTGTAATTACGAACATTAATAAGAAATATCGAACTTTCTCTTGATCTCTTTGAAACTGATTAGACCATTCCAAGTATCATGACATTCACGAAGATTTTATTGTACCATTTCAGATCTTACTATCCCACTTCGACGCCTTCAAATTCCCGAGCTCCGAGGTAGTGCAGTTCCGCGCACTTGTGACACCGTGTATGCCCACTTGCGAGCCGGTACAGTGCGATCAAGAGGAGACCACCGGCGAGTTGCGCTCTGTGATTTCGTTCGGCAAACGTCGTCGTCGTCGTTCAACCGGCACCTCAGCCCAGAGCCGCGAGGATCTTCTTCTGGTACAATCGATTCAGATCACGGACAAGTTTGGATTCGAGCACGATAGCAAAGCGTCGAACGCCAGTTCAGCAACCAGGGACACCGTTTTCGTCGAGAGCGAGGACATCTCGTCAACGATGGGGATGTGCATCAACTTGGGCGAGGCAATTGTCGCTGGGACCGTCTTTCTCGTCGCCCAGATCGCCATCATAGCAGCGTGGACCTTCACCTGGCAGAGACGTCGGCAGATGCTCAAGCATCAAGAAGCTCTCTCGGTCTCGGTTTCCGTTCCCGGAATGCATTCCGTTCCGGGACGCACCGACAGCCTCTGTAAGTTGTACGACGCCGGTTATTCAGCACGCCGTTTTTGAATAGCCTTCAACTTGATCCTCCCCGTCCCTTTAATCTCGTCTTCCTCCGCTGGCGACGTCGTGAACCTCCAGTAGTCGACTTCGTACAGAGATCTTTACGAACGATCGAGCGTCGATGATCTTCGATTCGTTTCGAAGCTTCTCCTCCGTCTAACAACACACCGGTTCCATTTTTTCTCCCCCCATTCTCCAAGTGCTAAGTATAGTCGTACACGTTTTACGTGTTTCGCGTGTCTTCTACGTTACACCCGGTGTATCACGTTCTCAATCAGAAATTTTTCACGCGAACGATCTCTGAAAGACAGAAACAACGTGCTGGAGGGATCGAATTATAACAATATTATCTTCTGGAGCGGCAGTCCGCTGCCTTGTAATCGGGATTCGTGCAAACCTTCTGGAGTATTCTCGGTAAGTCTCACAGTTCGACGTGTCGGGCAGATAGAGGAATTTTGTTTGTTCTTTTTCTTTTTTAAGATATCGCAACGTAGAATATCTGATTAAAACTGCCCGTACACAGTCGACCGACGCGACACTTCGTGCTCTCTTTACTTTATAAGAATTATCGCGTGCATATTTCTCCCTTTTTTTCTCTTCTGTTATCAAAGGTATACGATCGATCCTGCTACAAGCGAGGCAACCGCTCCTCGGTTGTCTCCCTTCGTAAAGACTTGAAAAGTCCACGGCTGGTGAAAAATATACTGCGCGAGGAGTAAAGCTTTCCTATCACACCTGCAATTTCAAATTAATAAGCATCGTGAAACGGAACGGCGGCCTTTTATGATCGCCGGTTTCTTCGTCGGGTTTTACGAAATGATGATGCATCGTTTATAGCCTGTTTTTCCCCCCCTCCCGCGTCCGCTGTATGACAGACTTCAATTAACGCGACACGCGGAACTAAATGCCATGAAATGCATATACACAACTGAATGCTTGGTTCTTATTCGCGATCAATGGAAAGTCTCGGTAACGATCGATACACGCGGTTTATACGCAGACCTGTTTTTACCGAAGACAGCTGCCAAGTGGAGTCACGTTGAAAAAGAAAAAAAGGAAACACAGACGCAAAAAGGAAAGGAAGTTCCGAATAGTTCAACGAACAATCGTACTAGGAACTAATTACAGTAGTAGGTAGAAGCAATTAGACGATCAAAGGAGGCAGGCTCGATCGATTACCTTGCAGCTTCCTCATCCTTCATTCATAATAGCGCATAATCTCCCCCTGTGTTTTCTTGCGACGTTTCCTTCCTCCTCTTCACTCTCCGCTTTTTCCTGTCGGTCGTATGCGAAACGAGACAGGATAAAGCGAAACAAGCCGAAGCGGGATCAGGCGTGGCGTGGCTACGAAGGTGATGGAGGTCGACGTGTACTTGGCTACGTTGGATAGGGCACCAGGCGCGGACTCTAATTAGCATTGGGAATCGAGCATGATTATGCAGATGCTCCAAGTGGGATATCAACAGGAGAAACGGTGGACGGGGCGGGCGGGCGCAACTGTAGAGGGGTCAGGGTGTAGCAGGGTAGTTGAAACGGAGAACGACTGGAAACAGTAGGAGACAGCGGTAGAAATGGGCAAACGGGGGAAGCAATGCGCGTAAAGGGGTTGGCGGAAGGTTAATTGCCTCTTGTGGCGTCTCGGGGTTAAGCTAAGCTTCGTAGGGTTAGACGAGAATTCGGGAGCAAGAAGGGTCGGGAAACGAGACAGCGAGATGGCGTTGGATCGCATCAAGGATAGCTATTTAGAGCATACTGAGACCACGTAACCACCATCCCCTTCCGAGTTAACCTTAGCCACGTTCCGGCCATCCGTGCTGGTCAGGTTAATTTACATCGCGACACGTGAGCTTATCAATCTGGACCGACGTGCTCTGATGGCGACTGGTCACACCTAATCAGCAACGAGTCCTCGACCTTGCGCTGAGAAGAAACACCTTCTCTTCTCTTCGCTTCGTTGGGTCTACACCTCGTGGTGAACGCGAGAACGAAGTTAAAGGGCGTTTGCTTTGATTACCGATACTAATTGCCACGGTGATTAACTACGCCTAACGCTCATCTGATACGGTAGAATTTCTCCAGATCGCTAGAGATTTGGAAGGGTCACGTATCAATTGGATCGTTTTAAGGTTGAGAGAACGTAGAGTTTCTGTTGATATATTTACACGAGGAAATTAGGCGGGTATTTTGTAGGACGAGCCTCGGCGAAAATTCAAAAGTCACCAGGATAGCTGCTATTACGGCTACAGACGAGCGTTTATGTTGGAGAAGTTATTTCGACATTTTCCCAGCTGCAGTTCCGCGAGAATCCGAGTTCAAATATACCCATTGCCCAGAAAGTTATAACCGTGGATCGAACTTAACTTTGAAACATAGATCCAACGTGCAAACGTCGTGGCACAATGCACGGGAAAGGGATAGGTAACGAAGACAGTACGTTCGAACCGGTTACATACCGGTTGCTATTTAACGTAACAAGCCTTACGGTCGAACTTGCCAAAACTGGGTGCTTCGAAGTTTCATGCGGCTCGAATTTTACGTAGAGCCAAAGCGAAACTGCGACCAACCGGCAAGTGGAGGGATAGACCAGATCTATGACAGGGAATCTATATAGTAGGCGGGTGGGTAGAGGGTGCGCGATACGTTGGATAAATTTAAATCGGTTAGCCATGTTGCCTTGGGACTTTATCGATTTCAGGGATACAAAGGCTCCGGAAGGGTTCGGGTTAATTGAGAAACTTGAAAATTTGAATACCCCCGTCAAGACAAACGAAGAGGGAACGGAAGTATATAGGAGAGAGAGAGAGAGAGAGAGGGGGGGGGGATAAAGACAGGCAAAGTGTGAGAGCTCGATTAGCATGGAATGTTTGCGTTTTAGTTAACCGAACTTCGGATCGTTTCTCTGTTCGACATTTGTCTATCGTCGGCAAACACGTCTGCAACTTCTTTCTCTCTCGCTCTCTCTCTCTGTCTCTGTTTCAACAATCCCTTTGACGCTTACTTGCTTCGTCATACGTACAACTCGTAATATTTCTCGTCACCGATACACACAGTGCGCAACATAGTCGGTGATCTCCAATCGTTTTCACAGGATTCAACCGCGTGTCATTTGGAATATCGAGGGAAAAGACCGCGTCGTTTGTTTTCGCGGTAATCCGAGGCATGAAAAACACTCTCCTGTGTCGGATGGAGAAACGAGGAATAGTGAGAAGTGAGCAAAAAAAATTGTCAGCAATCGTGGGTGATATTGAACTCGGGGACGTTGAAAGGACGTGTGCTTTAATTATTGATACTAATTGCCATGGTGATTGCTAGGCTTTCTCTCACCTGATACAATGGTAACGTGAACCCAAATGGAATTTCTCCTTTGAATGAAATGGGCTTTGATTGAAAACACAGGGATATAGGTGTGACCTGGTTTCTCTCTAGCCCCTAAAGCACGTTAACGGGCCCTATTGTCCGAACGGTATCTGCGTTTGGCTCGCGTTATCGACCTTGCTCTTCCCGCTTCGCTGCTACAGTTTTATACATAAATATCAATACACACGTATACATGCAATGATAAGATGCCAACGAAGGTGCCTAACGCGTTATCAGTAAGCGACGCGACCTAACGATTATATTTTACACATACGAATTATGCTAAGGATTTTTCGCTAACGCTGACGTAGTATATCCAATTTGCTTGTGGTGAGAGGGTAGAGCCAATTTTTTATACACGTTCGCACGATAATCGTGCGAACGAATAGAATTGCGAGCCGCGAACGCGCATCTGTACACGTGTGCGTGATTCGCCGCTCGCGATATTTTAGAGGTATCATCCTAGCGCGTAATACCGAGCATACGAAATGGTGCATGAAGAATTTCGCTCCTCTTCGCGCCTGACAACGGGGGGAAAAAGAAAAAGGATTCGTCAGTTTCAGCGAAGAAGTTCGAGATTTTCTCGCGCCATCTTGTAGAAGAAACAGCATTTCATGTTAGTTTTAGAATTACACTCTTCGGCACTTTTCATCGACTTGACCGAACCGTGTCCAACGGTATAGTCGGTCGAAGCGATACAGTCAGGTGGTAAAAATCTGTCGGGCCTCGATGTATTATACAGAGATGAGAAGATTGACAGTGGGACGGCACAGGAGTAAGTACTTTGCTTGCACCTACCGTCACGCAATTTTATACGATTCGATTCGTCGATGTTGTCGCGTCGACCGATAGCAACGTGTGCCCCGTTTCTGCGATTGTGTTAGAGAAGGCGGGTCTATGGGGATATGATCCATTCAGACCCGTATTCCTTGCGCTGGCCAATTTCTCATCTCTGCATGGTACACGTAATTAGAGCGCCAAAACAGCAATTCAAGGGAGACAGAGTTTATAAGTGTATTTGCATTTGGAGACGCAATTTTTAGGCGATTTTTCGGATACAAAGGTTTCAGAAAAACACGGTGTAATTTTTATGTAATTATGTTAATTATTATTGAAATTATTACATATTTCCCGCAGTGTGCCATTCTGAATAGCTGCCACGAATCACGTTGGAATTAGTTGGTTAATTATTGAGAAATCTCACTTTCTTCACTTTCTTCAAATCGTTGTAACTTTGTCTATTCCGTCGACTTCAGGCGTAGAATTTTAGCAAAATATTTTCAAAAAATCGACCTTTTCGACCTCTCCAAACAGGAATACCCTCAATGTTCGAATCTACGTCCTCGGTATATCGCTTCGATCAACTATACCGCTCAGTAGCCGCGCGGCCAGCGTTTGATCCAAGTCAATGGAAACTGCGTCGTTTCTTCGTCGATAAAGTCTCCTATGAAGTAATTGTCCAACTATTAAATGCGTATACGATGGAAGTAAAACCGAGCAAGCATGTATCGTCATTTGATTACGTAATTAAGATTAAGTTAACGCGGCCTGCATTGCGAAGGGAGGTATAGGCAGGTTAGCCGCGGTGAAACGATAATATTAGGCTCGAGGACGATCGCTCTCTCGATGATAACGTCGGAGAAAACCAC